TGAGGTATGTACCCTCTATCCCTACACTCTGAAGAGTTTTAATCAAGAAAGGATGCTGTACTTTGTGAAATGCTTTTTCTGCATCTATTGAGAGGATCATATGGTTCTTGTTCTTTCTTTTATTAATGTATTGTATCACATTGATTGATTTGCGGATGTTGAACCAACATTATAACCCAGGAATAAATCCCACTTGGTCGTGGTGAATAATCCTTTTAATGTATTGTTGAATCCTGTTGGCTAGTATTTTGGTGAGAATTTTTACATCTATGTTCATCAGGGATATTGGTCTGTAATTCTCCTTTTCGATGGGGTCTTTGATTTTGAGGTCAAGGTAATGCTGGCCTCATGAAATGAGTTTGGAAGTTTTCCTTCCATTTCTATTTTTTGGAACTGTTTCAGAAGAATAGATATTAATTCTTCTTTAAATGTTTGGTAGAATTCCCCTGGGAAGCCATCTGGCCCTGGGCTTTTGTTTGTTGGGAGATTTTTGATCACTGCTTCAATTTCCTTAGTGGTTATAGGTCTGTTCAGGTTTCTATTTCTTCCTGGTTCAGTTTTGGTAGTTTATACATCTCTAGGAATGCATCCATTTCTTCCAGATGATCTAATTTGCTGGCATAGAGTTGCTCATAAGATGTTCTTATAATTGTTTGTATTTCTTTGGTGTTGGTTGTGATCTCTCCTCTTTCAGTCATGATTTTATTTATTTGGGTCATTTCTCTTTTGTTTTTGATAAGTCTGGCCAGGGGTTTATCAATCTTGTTAATTCTTTCAAAGAACCACCTGCTGGTTTTTTTGATCTGTTCTACTGTTCTTTTGGTTTCTAGTTCATTGATTTCTGCTCTGATCTTTATTATTTATCTTCTCCTGTTTGGTGTAGGCTTTATTTGCTGTTCTTTCTCCAGCTCCTTTAGGTGTAGGGTTAGCTTGTGTATTTGAAACCTTTCTTGTTTCTTTCTTGTTTCTTGAGAAAGGCTTGTATTGCTATATACTTTCCTCTTAGGACTGGCTTTGCTGCATCCAAAGATTTTGAACAGTTGTGTTTTCATTTTCATTTGTTTCCATGAATTTTTTAAATTCTTCTTTAATATTCTGGTTGACCTGTGCATTCTTTAGTAGGATGCTCTTTAGCTTCCATGTATTTGAGTTCTTTCTGACTTTTCTCTTGTGACTGAGTTCTAGTTTCAAAGCATTGTGGTCTGAAAATATACAGGGAATGATCCCAGTCTTTTGGTACCAGTTGAGACCTGATGTGACCTAGGATGTGATCTATTCTGGAGAATGTTCCATGGGCACAAGAGAAGAATGTGTATTCTGTTGCTTTGGGATGGAATGTTGTGAATATATCTTTGAAGTGCATTTGGTCCAGTGTGTCCTTTAAAGTCTTTATTTCCTTGTTGATCTTTTGCTTAGATGATCTGTCCATTTCAGTGAGGGGGGTGTTAAAGTCCCCCACTATTATTGTTGTTATCAATGTGTTTCTTTGCTTTTGTTATTAATTGGCTTATATAATTGGCTGCTCCCATGTTAGGGGCATACATATTTACAGTTGTTAGATCTTGTTGGGTAGACCCTTTAAGTAGGATATAGTGTCCTTCCTCATCTCTTATTACAGTCTTTGGTTTAAAATCTAATTTGTCTGATAGAAGGATTGCTACCCCAGCTTTCTTTTGGTGTCCATTAGCATGGTAAATGGTTTTCCACCCCCTCACTTTCAATCTGGGAGTGTCTTTGGGTCTGAAATGTGTCTCTTGCAGACAGCATATTGATGGGTCTTGTTTTTTAATCCAATCTGATAGCCTGTGTCTTTTGATTGGGGCATTTAGCCCATTTACATTCAGGGTAACTATTGAAAGATATGAATTTAGTGCCATTGTATTGCCTGTATGGTGAGTGTTACTGTATATTTTCTGTGTTCCTTTCTGGTCTATGTTTGCTTAGAGGAACCCTTCCAGTAGTTCTTGTAGGGCTGGTTTTGTGTTTGCAAATTCTTTTAATTTTTGTTTGTCCTGGAAGCTTTTTATCTCTCCTTCTATTTTCAATGACAGCCTAGGTGGATATAGTATTCTTGGCTGCATATTTTTCTCGTTTAGTGCTCTAAATATATCATTCCAGTCCTTTTTGGCCTGCCAGTTCTCTGTGGATAGGTCTGTTGCCAGTCTAACGTTTCTACCATTGTAGGATATATACCTCTTCTCCCGAGCTGCTTTCAGGACATTCTCTTTGTCTCTGAGACTCATAAGTTTTATTATTAGATGTTGGGGTGTTGACCTATTTTTATTGACTTTGAGCAGAGTTCTCTGTGCCTCCTAGATTTTGATGCCTGTTTTCTTCCCCAAATTAGGGAAGTTCTCTGCCATAATTTGCTCCAATATACCTTCTGCCCTCTCTCTCTTTCTTCTTCTTCTGGAATCCTAATTATTCTAATATTGTTTCGTCTTATGGTATCACTTATCTCTCAAATTCTGCCCTTGTGATCCAGTGGTTTTTTCTCTCTATTTTTCTCAGCTTCCTTATTCTCCATCATTTGGTCTCCTGTATCACTAATTCTCTCTTCTGCCTCATTTATCCTGGCAGTTAGAGCCTCCATTTTTTATTGCACCTCATTAATAGCCTTTTTGATTTCGACTTGGTTAGATTTTAGTGCTTTTATTTCTCCAGAAAGGGTTTCTCTAGTATCTTCCATGCTTTTTTCAAGCCCAGCTAATATCTTTATAATCATCATTCTGAACTCTAGTTCTGATATCTTACTAATGTCCATATTGGTTATGTCCCTGGCAGTCGGTACTATGTCTTGTTTTTTTTGTTGAGGTGATTTTTTTTCCATCTTGTCATTTTGTCCAGAGGAGAATAGATGAATGAGAGAACAAAATGCTAACAGGGTAAGAACGACCCCAGAAAAATATACACTAAACAAATCAGAAGAGACCTGAAACCGGAGAAAAGAAAGGGAAAGGAAGAAAAAAGAAAGAATATGATCAGATATGATCATCCTGATGAATAGATGCCACAGATGCGCTGTGCCTCAGTGCCACACACTAGATTTTGGTCATATTTTGGTCTGTTAGAAGAAACTGCCCCCAAAAATTTTAAAGAAAGAAAAACATATATGTAGAAAAATAAGGGTAAATATGATGAAGTGATAGAATGAGTGTACAGATGAATAGTATAAAAGATTTTATAAAAGGAATTGATAAGAATTTGGTTGAAAAAAGAAAGAAGAGAAGTTAAAAAAAAAAGGGAGAGAATGTGATCAGGCAGGAGAGTAGAACAAAGATATACGCTAGAGATTTAGGGTATATTTTGGTCTGTTAGAAGAAACTGTATCCCAAAATTTTAAAGAGAGAACAACTTATATATATACCAAAAATAAGATTAACTACAATGAAGGGATAGAATATGACTCTAAAAATGAAAAATAAAAAAGAGTTTTAAAAAGCGATTGATAAGATGTTGGTTGAAAAAGGGAAAAAGAAAAATTCAAAAAAGAGGGGCACCTTGGTGGCTCAGTCGTTGGGCATCTGCCTTCGGCTCAGGTCATGATCCCAGGGGCCTGGGATCGAGCCCCGCATCGGGCTCCCAGCTCCGCAGGAAGCCTGCTTCTCCCTCTCCCACTCCCCCTGCGTGTGTTCCACTCTCTCACTGTGTCTGTCTCTGTCAAATAAATAAAATTTTAAAAAAAAATTCAAAAAAGTAAAAAAGAAAAAGTAGAAGATAAAAAGAAAATTAAAAAAAATTAACTTTGAAAGTCTAAAGAATCAGGGGGGAAAAAAGCCATGAATCTATGTATAGTATTTCCCTAGCGCTGGAATTCTGCCGTTCTCATTGATCGGTATACTTGGTCTTGGCTGGTTGTTCTTGCTGATCTTCTGGGGGAGGGGCCTGTTGCTATGGTTCCCAAATGTCTTTGCAGGAGGCACAATTGCCCCGCCCTTGTCTGTCTGGGCTAAGCAAGCTGCTTGGGTTTGCTCTCAGGAGCTTTTGTTCCCTGCAAGCTCTCGGTACAGCTTTGGAGGAGGAGAGTGAAAATGGTGGTCTCCCAATTTCCACCGGGAGGAGCGGAGAACTCGGGCCCTGCTCCTCAGTGCGCCCCCAGAGAAAAGTACTCAGTCACTCCCGTGTCCCTGGTCTCCGGCCGCACTCCGTGCTCCCCCGGCCTGTGACTGAGCGTTTCTATCTCTGGCACTCCACTCAGTGTGGAGTCTCCAAACCCAGCAGACCCCTGCGGTGCACTCCCGCGCCGCTCCTCCCGGGGGAGGAAGGGGAGTCTCCCCGGATCTGCCGCTTGTTGGGTCCCTGCTGGAGGAGCAGTGGCCCGATTGGGCCGCGGATCACAGTTTATGGCAACCCCGAGCTGAGAGCCCGCGCCTCGGTTCCGTCTCTGCAGCCGGCTTCCCCGCTCTGATACCTGGGAGCTCTGCTGCAGTCAGGCACCCCCGGTCTTTCTGTGACCCCGAGGGTCCTGAGACCACACTGTCCCAGCGAGGGTTCCACCTCCTGCTTAGCTACTTGAGTGATTTCCCTCAGTGGAGCCGACTTCTAAAAGTTCCTATTTTGTGCTCCACTGCTCTATCACTTGCTGGTAGTGGCTGACGGAGGGCTCCTCCCCCACCGTCTATCCTCCCGAATATCGCCTCGGATTCACTTCTCCGCACGTCCTCCCTTCCAGAAAGTGGTCGCTTTTCTTTTCAGAAAGTTGCTACTATTCTTTTCTTCGACCTCCTGTTGAGTTCGTAGGTGTGCAGAATGGTTTGATCCTATCTAGCTGAATTCCTGGGACCAGACGAAATTTAGTTCTCTACTCCTCTATCATCTTGCTCTTCCCCCAGTAGACACAGACTGTTAAAACACATGGCATTGAGATGACCATGAGCAATGGTTTGACCATGCTGTGCTGAAAAGGCACACTGCTGCCCCACTTCCTCCCAGGGCATGACTGATGGTTACTGATGACCGCTTTGTAAAACTGCCCCCTTCTTTCTTTTTCCTGACTTCAGGTGGATGCGCTGAGGTTACGATTAGAGGAGAAAGAATCTTTTCTCAATAAAAAAACAAAACAGCTGCAGGACCTAACAGAAGAGAAGGGGACACTGGCCGGAGAGATTCGAGACATGAAGGACATGTTAGAAGTGAAGGAAAGAAAAATCAATGTTCTTCAGAAGAAGGTGAGTAGCTGACATAAGCCCTTTAGGTTGGGAATTGGTATTGTCCATGTTTGTCATTTTAGAGAAATTTCTGAGTGCATTGAAGAAACTATTTCTTAAGATTTTAGATTAGGAAGTATAAACTTTAAACTTAGTGGTATTTAACTTACTGTTGCTTGTATAATGCCATTTTTAGCATAGCCTGATGAATTTTCTATTTGATTACTTGAAAACTAAATAGTGATGACTTTTTTTATATTTTGCAGCTTAAATATAGAGATAATTATACAAATTTAGATATGCATCTAAAATAATAACAAGTCTGAAAAATTAATTTTTTTTCCTTACGGAGAGTTGAGGAATGTATTCTGCGGGTCTTAAAGGTATTTTAGATGTATTTTTAATTTATGTAAATTTTAGTACATCTTACCTTGCTAAACCCATACTGATTTTTTGTTTTGGTCGGGGAGGACTAACATTTACACCTATCTTTTAATTGGAATCAGTGAGAGAATATATAATAAGTTCCGACTTCAGTCATCTTCCAACTTCAGCTTGATCTAGCTAGGTCCCTTCTTTCATTTTTTTCCTTCAGCAGCTCATTTTCTTCATTGTAGGGGATCCAGATTTGGGGAATGCCCCCTAATTTCTTTTTTTTAAATTCCCATTTGGTACCAGCATGGAAATTGGGCAGGAACCAGTGGTAGGCAGGAGGAGCCAGCTGTCTGGGATGCTGCCTCAGACAGGCATGTTGCTGGGCACCCATGTTGCAGTTGCAGACAAATGAACTCTAACTGGTCCCTCCTGGTGTCATTTGCCACTATCATCTCTCACCTTGTTTATATCAACAGCATCCTAGCTGTTTTTCATTTCCACCCTTACCTTTCCTATAGGCTCTTTTGAACATAAAACCTGGAGTAGGCCTTTTAAAACAAAACAGTTTATATCACTCTGATCAAAACTCTCTGGTCATAATAACCACCTACATAATTTTGCAAAACGAAAATCATTCAAACTTTATTGAGAATTTCAGGATGAGCATGGGGCCTGCTGCAGCTACACAAGTCATATGCCCATGAAGCCACCCATAACCCTCGTGGCTTCCATCCTTACTCTCAGTGTATTGGTGATCTGATGGATCACATTATTAATTCATTTCTGTCGAGATCTTCACAGACAATACCCTGGTAATTTGATCTCCCCTTTGCAGCTCTAGCTAATTGATACAGATGTTTAGAAGAGAGCTCAGAAGACATGACTGAGGACCCTGGAATCAATGGGGCTGTTAAGGGCAGATGGGACTAACAGAGAGACAGAGTGGCAGTTTTTGGGGCAGGTACTAAGGATTCTAAAGAAAAATTTTCACTTAAAATCCCTGGCAGTGAATAATGATGAAAGCTGACATTTTTTCAATTTATGTTGAGCACTGTATGCTGGATATTTTGCTATGCTTGTTACATGCACTGTTTACTTATTTTTGACCATAATCCTGTGAAGCAGGTATAGTTCTTAACTCCAGGAAACAAGGACACTGAAGCCTATGGTAGGCTTGCCCAAGGTCAAGCAACCTAGATGCATGTTTTTTGGTTTTTTTGTCTTTGAGAGAATAGAATAAAATGGTCATTGCAATTTAAGAGAATAAGCCTCATTTTCCTTTGGACCTCAAGTTTTATGATAATGACACCAGGTGTCAATCAATGAAGAACATCACAATTGCTTGTTTTATAAAGAGTTGAGACTACGTGTTCTTATTCTTGAGGAATAAATGGCATTGATGTTCTCGGTAAAGAATTTGGGAAGGTACTTTCACTGCATAAGTGACAAAAGACATTTGCTGATGTGTGCATTTTGCAAAATTTTATACTTTGCCCCAATAGCAAGGCTCAAAGTTTTGAGAACTAGTTTGGAAGTTCTAGAACAAAGCCTGTTGTATGTTATGGCTCCTTTGGGCAACATGATTATAACACCACTTATTTAAACCACCTAGATAATGGATTAGGAAATATTTCATGTGTATTCAAAGAGGCTCTTCAAGGTTTTTTTTCACTGAGTATTAACCAATCCATTTGAGGAGGAAATAATACCACTGGCAACATAGTGAAGGGGCAGGAGTTCTATTATACCTGCAATGTAAAGGAGAGATAATCCCCAAAGAAGTATTGCACACAATTCAGAAACCTACTCAAAATGTGGAACTAATACGGAAGCTAATGGGCCGATGAAACATTGTCTTTGGGACTGGAGGCTCCTTTGAGTTTTGACCACATTCAGCATAATTGGCTGTTTTAGGGCAGGCCTGGATTGGAACAGCATAAGTTTTAGATTAGGGTGTGTTGGCATGGAAGAAATAATAAACTTATGTCAGTGTCAGACATGTAGTATTACTTAATATTTCTTTCTTATAGACTCTTTGGCAACCAGCACTGCGTTTTGATGCCAATAGAAATGGGTATGCTCCTTTCATAGCCATGTTTAACCTGGCAAAGCTAGGCTTGCACCTCGTATCTGTCAGTCTTGCCTTCAGAGCCCTGGGTCTCAGAATTCTGTATCCTCCATAAGCCACATGAATAGGTCACATGTCTAGGCAGCATGCATGGACACAATGCTCTAAGCATGTTGTTACTTGAGGAGGAAGTGAAGTTGAATAAACAGAGAACCCCAGGTGACAGAATATCTCTGAGCAAGCTTTTGTAGGAAAACAGCAGTCATCGAGCATGGATTTTTGGCTCTACTCTGTAATTCCCAGATATGGAGTTCTTTTAGTAGGGGACAAAAATGTGCATGTATGAAAATTGTTCAGTGGATTATCCTCTTATGGCTGTGATGCTGAAGTCAGAGGAACACTACAGTTTTCAAGCTGCAGCCTTTGCATTCTGTTCTCATACCTGAATTCAGACTTCAGTTGATGAAGTGCTATCTGACTATTGAGTTTTTGTAGGAAATGTCATAAAACCTTGATGACATTGTACATTTGGAAAGTATATAATGCCCAGGGTTATAGGACATGGTAGCATTATTTGAACCAGATCAAATTCAGACTGTTATGTAGCTCATGCAACATAAACTTACTACCCAAGAAATTTTTAAAAAGCCATTAAATTGGACAAAAATTCTATCTCCATTTTCATTCTAGGTCTCAGTCCCACTTTATAGAGCAGAGGTACTTTATTTATTAGGGGTAGAAAAACAGATGGTGATTTCTCTGGAGGCCAAGTTCACTATCTGCATACTGGGCTTCATAGACTGCCCTGTGGGTTTGAAAGGGCAGGGAGAGGTGAGTGGAATTGGCTTCTGGGGGTGGCATCTATGGATCTGCCCACTTCAGCAGCTTTATTCTACCCATTTGGAAGTGTGGTGGTGAAAATCCTAAATGACGATAATCTCAGAGGTAAGGATGCTATGGGAGTATGGTTACTAGCATACTGGGTTTCTTCATGAACTTTATCAAAAAACAGTATCTGAGGAGATGATTGTAGAACATAGAGATTTCCATGTTAGTGTAAAGTTATTGTAAGTTACGGAGGACTTTGACTGAACTGAGCTCTTTCTTGGTGTTTAAACATCCAGTTGCACTTTTATACTTATTATTGGCAAACCACCTATATTTTGAACATATGGAAAATTGTATTCTTTTTGCATTTACTGAATGTTTCCTATGTGTCAGTCAGTCACCACTCTAGGTCCTAGAGGCTCAAAGAGAAATAAGACATTCTCCAGTCTTCCGGAAGCTGACAGTCTGGTTGGGGAGATAGACATGCATAATGGAGAGCAACATGATGTATTACCAGACGCAAACTGCTTGATGGATGCAAACAGCAGAAGCTAATTCTGACTACCTTGAGCAAAAGGGAGTTTATGGCAGATACCCAGAGCCCCAGTATCTGACTGGTAGAACCAGATTAAGAATGATCAAGAACCAGGACAGCTGTAGGAGACCAAGAGAAAGGAGAGAGTGCCATGATCTTATAACCAAGAATGTCTGTTCAGGCATCTTCTCTGCTGCTGGCTCCCCTTCACCCTCCTCCCACTGCTCTTACATCACGCTGTTGGTTGAGATTTAAAGTCTTTGGAGAGAGCTCCAGATTTCACACAGGTGCCTCTCATTGGCAGGATCTAACCAGACCTGCCCTAAAAGGAATCTGGGAAATGTGGTTCCAAGAGATTTCCACTCGGTTCTTGTGTCACTTACTCAGGGAAGTCTTTGCTGACATTGCAGGCTGGGAGAGTTTTACACTTTTAAAGAACTGTTTCTTGGCTCAGTTTGAAATTCTGCATCCCTTTAGTGAATGTTGGCTTCCCTCCCACGGCTAATCTCTGTGAGTGCCCCAACCGTAGTATTCAAGATACCTCCAGCTCCTTGCAGAATTCTTGGCAGGTGATGGTCCTCAATCAATGAACATTGGGTGAATAAATTATATCAGCAAATTCTGAATGAATGAGGACTTGGGAAGAGAAATCACTTTGTGAGCCACTCCTGGCCCACAAATATTGTTAGCTGTGATACGAATCTTTTGCCCCAGTGAAATGTCAGACTCACTCATTGTTCCCAGGACAGTATGTTCTATGTAAGCTGCAAGATGGAACCATCCCATGCATAATGAGACAAGATGGGGAAATGACTGTTGTTCTACCCACATCTCAAACCTTGGTTCCATTACCCTGACAAGACAAACAAGGCGTGAAGGCTTGAGTAAGGGAACTTAGCTACTCTTGCTTTCTTTTCCTTTTTAATAAAAAGAAAATGTGGCATTTATGAAGAATACTGTCTTGTTTTGCAGTGAATACTGCTTCTTTCTCCAGTTCTCGCTTCTAACTTACTGGATTGTTAGAGGCATGGTGAGAGTGATAAAATGAAAGTATTGATTATTCATGATCATTTTTAATTATGACCATGCAAATGTTAATTTTTTATAACAAAAGGATTATCTGCTGCTGATTGAGCCCTTACTATACACGAGACACTGTGCAAAGAGTTTTTGCACCCTTAGGTTATGAGTCCTTATAACAAACCTCATGGCCCC